CGTTTAGAGATTTGAGTTTTCAAACTTTTTTGCAAAGTGAGTGCTTTTTCAGGAAATTGTATAATTTAGGTTTATTGTGCTTTCACACTTCTAAGTGGTCACATTATGCTCATTTTCAGCTCCTCTTTTCACATGTATATATCTGCAACTTTGTTCTTCTATTCCATATTTATATATTTCTACATTTATTTATGTTGACTGTATGTTTGTCTACGTGTAGCACCTTATCACCGCAACAAATTCCTCGTATGTGTAAAACACTACTTGGCAATAAAGCTCCTTCTGATTCTTCTTATTCTTCTGATTCTGATTCACCCTGTGTGTTGATCACTCTGTTTTAGCTACGGAGTGATGCATCTCACTTCTGAAAGATCTTTGTTGGGAGTTGCACATGCGCAGAACCTAATTAAGGACTACTAGCGCATCAGAAGCAGAGTAGGACGGGTCCTGACAAGCATGTAAACACTCCTTCGGTTCAGCTGTATATGTTCCTGAACCAGCTTAGCAACCAACACTGGAGCAAGAGTTTCAGAGTGGTGAGTTATTGCTCTGCAACACATTGATCTTTCATACGTAACGTTTTAACTGTGTACTGTCACTACATCACAGTTACAAGTTTATGTTCATTGATTGTTTAACGTTCGTTAGGGAGAGTGGGGATGAGGGGTGGCAGCAGGTGGACATCTTGTCACTGGGCGCTGCAGCTCAGTGTGTTTTACATCAGTGTTTTTGAGGGCGTACCTGATTAGTCGCTGACCTTGTGACGCGCGTTACATTGGGTCGCAACATAGTAACAGAAAAAAAGGTTGGACTAAAATCATGCTGTTTTCAGACAGTTGAGCAGTGTTTTCTGTGGGAGATGGGAGACTCCCCGTGAGGTGGAGTTTTTCAATTTGCAAACCTATTACATGCACAAAGAAAAAAGCCACAAAGCATAATATGACCTCTTTAAGTAACACAATTATGAAGCCAGTTAAAGTTTATTAATACTTATCGACGACCTCCCCCTCCGCCTGAGCCTACCTGTATGGGGTGATGCACTAATGGCCAGGACTCCCCATTCAGTGATGCTGTCAGGTAAGGGATTAGCCACGTTCATAGACGCCAACCTGTTGATCAGATTCATGTCTGTATTATTACCAGCAAGGAGGTCCTGGATCAAAAGCACAGCTTCTTTTTGATAGATGAAACAAAAATGGTATATAGTAGCTGTATAAATGTTCAATTCCTGTAATAAAGCAAGATTTGAAAATGTACAGTGGGTACGGAAAGTATTCAGACCCCTTTAAATTTTTCACTCTTTGTTTCATTGCAGCCATTTTCCAAAAATCAAAAAAGTTCATTTTATTTCTCAGTAATGTACACTCAGCACCCCATCTTGACAGAAAAAAACAGAAATGTAGAAATTTTTCCAAATTTATTAAAAAAGAAAAACTGAAATATCACATGGTCATAAGTATTCAGACCCTTTGCCGTGACACTCATATTTAACTCAGGTGCTGTCTATTTCTTCTGATCATCCTTGAGATGGTTCTACACCTTCATTTGAGTCCAGCTGTGTTTGATTATACTGATTGGACTTGATTAGGAAAGCCACACACTTTCTATATAAGACCTTACAGCTCACAGTGCATGTCAGAGCAAATGAGAATCATGAGGTCAAAGGAACTGCCTGAAGAGCTCAGAGACAGAATTGTGGCAAGGCACAGATCTGGCCAAGGTTACAAAAAATTTCTGCTGCCTTAAGGTTCCTAAGAGCACAGTGGCCTCCATAATCCTCAAATGGAAGACGTTTGAGACGACCAGAACCCTTCCTAGAGCTGGCCGTCCGGCCAAACTGAGCTATCGGGGGAGAAGAGCCTTGGTGAGAGAGGTAAAGAAGAACCCAAAGGTCACTGTGGCTGAGCTCCAGAGATGCAGTCGGGAGATGGGAGAAAGTTGTAGTAAGTCAACCATCACTGCAGCAATCCACCAGTCGGGGCTTTATGGCAGAGTGGCCCGACGGAAGCCTCTCCTCAGTGCAAGACACATGAAAGCCCGCATGGAGTTTGCTAAAAAACACCTGAAGGACTCCAAGATGGTGATAAATAAGATCCTCTGGTCTGATGAGACCAAGATAGAACTTTTTGGCCTTAATTCTAAGCGGTATGTGTGGAGAAAACCAGGCACTGCTCATCACCTGTCCAATACAGTCTCAACAGTGAAGCATGGTGGTGGCAGCATCATGCTGTGGGGGTGTTTTTCAGCTGCAGGGACAGGACGACTGGTTGCAATCGAGGGAAAGATGAATGCGGCCAAGTACAGGGATATCCTGGACGAAAACCTTTTCCAGAGTGCTCTGGACCTCAGACTGGGCCGAAGGTTTACCTTCCAACAAGACAATGACCCTAAGCGCACCGCTAAAATAACGAAGGAGTGGCTTCACAACAACTCCGTGGCTGTTCTTGAATGGCCCAGCCAGAGCCCTGACTTAAACCCAATTGAGCATCTCTGGAGAGACCTGAAAATGGCTGTCCACCAACGTTTACCATCCAACCTGACAGAACTGGAGAGGATCTGCAAGGAGGAATGGCAGAGGATACCCAAATCCAAATGTGAAAAACTTGTTGCATCTTTCCCAAAACGACTCATGGCTGCATTAGATCAAAAGGGTGCTTCTACTAAATACTGAGCAAAGGGTCTGAATACTTATGACCATGTGATATTTCAGTTTTTCTTTTTTAATAAATTTGCAAAAATTTCTACATTTCTGTTTTTTTTCTGTCAAGATGGGGTGCTGAGTGTACATTACTGAGAAATAAAATGAACTTTTTTGATTTTTGGAAAATGGCTGCAATGAAACAAAGAGTGAAAAATTTAAAGGGGTCTGAATACTTTCCGTACCCACTGTAAATGTAAATGTTCTTTTCTTTGTATCGTGTGTACAGTTTCAGCAGCCACAGTAACTTGGTGATAAACAAATAAGAGCAACTTTGCAGTTCGGGTTGACTGTTGCATTTCACAACGCAAACAAGGACACGAGTGTATGTGTACACACACACACACTGTTGTAAAGGACATCAGTGTTTGTTTAATTCAGGGAAACAGAGTCAGTATTGTTGATCATGAGCTGTTCATTCAGCTGTTATCAGCTGTTATCACTGACCAAACAAAATATGAAGCAACGCAGGGAATTCACAGTGCTATGAGTTTTGCCCCACATGATGACATTGATAATGAGAGGCTTTGGGTCCTCACTGAGCCATGTTTTTTATCCAACAGGCATGGTACGTCAAATATAATTGGCTGGATTTAGACAAGACTTTTGAGGACCCGTTGCTGGTCCATAGGCACAAGGGGGTGCCACTGTACAGTGTTTGTTTAAATATCCAGATACCAGACAGACAAGATAGGAGACACACATTTGGGGGAGTGATGCATCTCATGCTGACTTCATATGTTTTATTTTCAAAATGGGAAGTTGAGTACACAATGTGTTTGGCATTCTACTGGTTTAAGTCCTGAGAGTCAGCTGTTGTCTGGCTCCTTTGAAAATTCAACTGCATTCAATTATTATTTTTATGGGACTAAGAAAAGGAAAGACAACATTTAATCAATAAAAATATAAAAATGTAAAAGTTATGTTCATTGGGTTAGTTGTCTTTTCTGTGCTTCAACATGTAATGTAATATAATATAAATCAGATCTAAAGAGTGATGCTGTAAACAAATTGTTTGCCTCTGATTTAACCTCTACTCTAATCTTTGACTCACCCGTCTGTCTCTGCCTGGATGGGCAGCTTAACATCCATCCACAGCCAAGACTCGTAGAACTTGGATCGCAGATACACTTGAGTCTCATCCAGGTACTCCCACTCTTCCTCCTCCTCCTCCTCTTCTTCGTACACTAACTCCCTCCCTTGTATGTGCAGTTCAGGTCCAAGCATTCCAGGCCGTCCAAGCCGTGCATGAAAACGTGGCCGTTCTATGTGGAAATCTTTATTTATGATTAGCAGGTCTACTCTTGACATCTTATAACATATGAATAATGAAATTCCCTTCAGCCTCAGCCATATTTCGCGTTTAGTGATAATTAGCAAACGTTCAAGATATCTTGTTTACTAAAAATCAAACATAAAGAGGAACAGTAATTACCCCAGCTTTCAACAAGTACTGCAGTGTGCCAGGTTGGAGAGGAGGTGGTGGGGGGAGCTGTGGTTATAGGTGGTGGGGTGGTGGGAATCTGGGTGTCAAATACTTGGTTCCTGTAAGTGGCGCAGCAGTAGCGGAAGGCCCGCATGCACTCCCAGCCCTCTGTGATGTAGAGGGAGCGTCGTGTACAGGAGTACGGCATGAGAATCTCCCTGAGGCCGTCCCTACAGCAGCGACGTTCCAGCTTCTCTTTGTAATGACTCTCTGGAGGCAGAAGTAGGGGAGGAGAGGGAACCAGCTGAGAGTCATCAGTACTGGCAAGTACTGTAGTATTCAACAGCTTTTATTTCAACAATTAAGGAAACAACAGTGTTTTATGGGAAATTGGTTGCTGGTAGTGTTTTATGCCTTTTATGGGTAGCTGTTTTGGTTTTAATAGCACGTTAATCGTATCGTTTGTTGTGAATATGCGCTACAGTAAGTGCCCAGCTACTTGCTCTGCAGTAAATGCCAGACAAAGTTAGCGGCAGGTGAAGAAAGTGGAATCCCCTAAACAGTCTGATATTTCCCTCAGGAGTTAGTGGAGACTTTATCTAGAGCTTAAACGAGACTGAAAAAAGAGCTTGCATTCATCAGGTAGACAGAAACACAACCTCAATGGGGTGAAAATGTTGTTCTATGCCTGTGAGATGTGTAAAAAGGCCACTTTTTGCTAACACATTGGCTTGTACAACTTCATCATTTTACAATGTCAGTTTGTTTTGGTGTTCTTCTTTCCCTAAGTGACCAATTAGTTATTGAACTAACTGAAGTTACAAGGGAGGACAACACAGACAGTAGAGCAGAGTAGATTTTGGGTGTACATTTTATACTAGCCAATCTCAATTGAACCTCACTTAGCTCAAATCACCAGTAGTTCTCCCTCCCTGTTCCCCTCTAAACAAAACTCAGTGACCTGAGGATACTCACCCAGCTGGACTTTACGCTGCAACTGTTCAATAGAGCGCCTCCTTCTGGCACTGCCTGGACACTGCAGGACTGAAGAGAGGAGAGGATAAAAACATGATTTTGTTTATCAACATTATGTACAATCTTTGTACAAATCAACGCTGCATCAGTAGCATTAGTTTGTGTAACAACTTACCAACAGTATGTATGTGACCAGTTATTAAAAAAAAAAGCTTTTGGGTAATCAGTGCTGCTGATAGATACCAAGGATGTAATGGATAAGATGCAGTTTCAGCAATTATGTATTTATTACAGGATTGATAAATATTACACTGCCTATGTGTTCGGAGCTCAAATTTCAAACTGATTGCAAAAAAGCTGTAATGTCTACTTATTATTTTTCATTTGTGGTAGAAGACATTGTTTTTTCACACAAGTATTTGGGGTTTTAGTAGAGAGTTTTACTGTCGCATGATAGTTTAAATGTTGTTTCAGTGGCTCACCCCTTTTGTATGTATACAGTCAAGAGATTTAATAAACAAATAAGATACAAATAAGACACTGGACAAATGCTACGGCAATTTTACTGACTCCTATGCTGCTAATATTAGGCCCCCCCCTCTCAAACTCCTATCATAACATCATCCAAATGATTCCCACTTTCAGGTCCGCCCTTAAAAGAAGCAAGACTGTCAGTGTCTGGCAGGACAAGTATAAGGAGAAGCTAAGTGGCTGTTCACTAAGTGTCAATCTGGCCACAGATTGGGATGTTTTCTATCAAGACAATAATACTGACAATATTACGGCAAGGTACATTCTTTTTTGTGTTGACACTGTAGTGCCAAAAAGGACCATTGGGATATACCGGAATAATAATAAAAACTACATCACGCTTAAGAGAGAAAAGATTGCATTAGATGGGGAAAAGCCTTCCAGAACAACGATGGAACCGAAAGCAGTTCAACAAGAACTAAAAAGGAAACCAAAGGAGGTGTAAGACCAACAACATAACATGTCAATTTGGGTATAATGATAGAGGTACAAATGACTCTTTAAGCACTACAACTCATTTTATTTAAAATCTTACAGCTTATGCTAGACTGTAAGTTGATGGACATTTAATACCATACTCCCCAGATCCTTTAGGTGAACCCTTATATAATCAGTAAAAGTATTAGGACACCTCTCTGAATTAATGAATTCATGGTGTGGGCTTGTTTTTCAGGGGTCGGGCTGGGCCCCTTAGTTCAGTTAAAGGAACGTTAATGCTTCAGGACACCCAGACATTCTGGACAATTTTATGCTCCCAACTTTGTGGAAACAGTTTGGGGATGGCCTCTTCCTGTTCCAACATGACTGTGCACCAGTGCACAAAGCAAGGTCCATAAAGACATGGATGAGTGAGTTTGGTGTGGAGAACTTGAGTCCTGACCTCAACCTGATTAGAGGTGGAGGCTGTGAGCCAGGCCTTCTGGTAAAAAAGTCCTGAACATACTCTAAAAACCTTATGGACAGCTGTCCCAGAAGACTTGAAGCTGTTATAGCTGCAAAGTGTGGGCCAACTCCATGTTAAACCCTACAGGTTACGAACGGCATGTCATTAACCTTCATGTGCATGTAAAGGCAGGTGACCCAAAACTGGCAAAATAGTGTATTTCACTAACAGTAAGTGAAAATGAATTAAACCTTTTCAGACGTACAAATCATTCTCAAGTATGCCAATACCAATGAGTGAAAAGTTACTCAGAAACCATGACACAAACAAGTATATTATCAAGTTTTCTGATCATTAACATCATCATTAGTAGTTAATAACGCGTTACTGCCTATAACAACTTATGGTGCAGCACAAGCTCAATACATAGCACTGTAATATATATATAGTTTCAGACAACCAGAGACTTATTTAAAGACTATACAAGAAATCCACCTTTAGCAGCTCCAGTATTGCTGCAGTTTCAGCAAACACACAGCACAAACATGACCTTCACAGCTGCTACAAAGGGACATATGGACTCAAACAGCAGACACAGCAATTTTTAGAGCAGCTACTTATTTAGCAGTTACTTAGATTGTGTATATTTTCATTTATCTACATGTATAAAAGTACACTGTCTTTACATAGAGGGGAAAACCTGGGAAAAAAATACTCTATTAATACATATATTTCAACCCCCCCCCCCCCATTTTCATATTTTAAGAAAACAGGTCACAAATAACAGGTTGTAATTAAAGCCTTTTATATTCAGCTCATTACCTACCAATGTTTTTAAGGCAGACTTTGCATACCTCCTATATCTCCTCCCCTATTCAACTGCAATACCTTTTTGTATCTAATAAAAACTACCAAAAACGAAGCTCACATCTGTGGGTTTTTTAACATTTTCGCAGTAGCTCAAATTCACAACACAAACACGAAGACTGAGCAGACAGCTGCTCCATGCACGAAGGTACCTTGTCTGGTTTGGGTTTTAAACCCGGTGTTGGAGGAGTAGAGCAGTCCTGCATCTGAGAACACTGCAGTAGCATCTCTGCCTCCCCCTCGGGTGCAGCCGATGTCTCCTTGTTCCACCACGTCCCAAATCTGAGGAAAAGGTCCCCCATTGAGGACAAGGTGACATGAGGTTTTTGCAGTTCTGTTTTGGAGTTTCAGTACAGAACAAAAACATTAACAATGCTTCTCAGATCAACAAATAACCCGCTGACTTGTGACACCACAGTATTTTCAAACGTTTATAATTATTGTACATATTTTCAAAACAAAAGGGTGGAGCTGGAAAAAGTTGAAAACAAATTGAGAAACTAAGATGTTTACATGTTTATGTCCACAAAATGTGTCAAAGAATTTGTGCTTATGCTCCTATCATATCTTTAACTGTATAAATAAATTAAAAAAATCATAATCCAAGCATAAAACATTGTTGAGATTCTACATGTTGCCATGAATAACAGCATCATTCAGCACCACTTCTCTTTTAGATGTGTGTGCCTTTCTTCTGTTTGATTGGTAAAAATGTAGCTTTATCATTGTTCAGATCTGGGGTATTTTTTCTTTGTTTAAATGATGCCTGCAGTTTTGATGGTAAGTTACTGTCATTGATGCTATAACACACTCCCAATCCCCAATAAACACACACACCTTTTTCTGTGTAAGCCTGTCCCTGTTGAGCAGATACACAGCGTTGTCCACAACCACCAGGCTGACCTTTGCCCCCGGATCACCTCTGACCTTAAAATTAAAACTCTTCCCAGGCGTGTATTCTCGACCTATGCCGTCCACCGGCCCAACTGTCAGCTATAAGAAAGAATGAATAAAAATGCATCAACACAACGATGAACAAAAGAGTAAAGACAGTTAATGGCCACATTCAAAATGAAGATGCAAACAATCAAACAAAATAAAATATTAAATATAAATATAAAACAAATTGAATAAGAGGAATTTCTTATTGTCAACGCAAACCCCACAACCAACAAGTGTGTTAATCCATCTCCAAGTACTTTCTGACTTCCTGTCTGTGGCTCTCCAACCATTGATTCCTACTGATCACATACATTACAGGGTACTGTAGTTTTTACTAAACATTACGCAAATGGGAGGAAACAGTTAATTTACATATATTTTTGCAGCAGATTAATCCACATTTGGTGCTTTAGTGAGTATTTCTGGCAGCAGGACGGTCGGTGTATATGAGATTGAGTCAAAATAAACTAGTGTGTACGTTCATGGTGAAGGAACAGCATGGCTCAGTGATGTGTTTCTAATCATTTCAATAGAGCCCTTTGGCACAGAGGAGGAATAAGATATATAAAAATCATTGTCGTTTTGGTCTTTTCAGTCCTTTATGCATTAAGCCTCACAGTGTGAATGAAATTGGTGTGTAGCATAGGGCAATAGTGACCTCTGAGACTGAGCTTATCACTCACCCCTCCAGCACAGGAATTTTCCACATCCACCCAGATGGAGTCCGGCACCACCTCCTCGCGCCCCACCCAGGGAATACTGTAGAACGCCACAAAACGGAATGACGGCATCATCTCCGGGGTGACTATGAGTCCGATGCTGGTGAACACCTGACTGCCACGATCCACACGCCCAGCAACAATGATTTTGCCTTTATTCAGCACCTGAGAGAGTTTTGGAGAGAAAGTCAGATAACTACATCTTGTTTGTTTATGTCTGTTTTTTCTATGATTTTATGTTGCTGTTTGATTCTTCTCCTACTTTCTAAAGTGTCCTAGAAATTTGACACGGTGTTTTGGCCTCACCAGGTAGGTGATGTGTTTAATGAGATCTTTGTGTGTCGGGTCTGCAGTATTTATGCTCAGCTTCAGGGACAGTGTGTCTCCTAGAGACACCGTGTTGGTCGCTGTGGAGATATAAAGGTAGTTCTGCTGGTTCGGGTTAAAGGTGACATACGGATGAACAGTGATCTGTTGTTTGGCCTGCTGCTCTGGTCTCAGGTCGGGCTGTGCGGTCTCAGCCTGGGAAACAAACAAAACAAAAAGCTTTGTTCTTATAATTCTAAAGACAGATGTCCTGTGTCCAACATCCATGTTGGTAGATCACGTAAAGCCCACAAAGAAACAATACAAACACATGAAACCAATAAAAGAAAACTCAATAAGAACATTTTTTAAAAGCCATTATGTACCTGAGAGGTCTGACTTTTATTGTTCTGTATGTACTGGTCACATTTTTCATACTTTGTTTTGTTTTTGTACTTGTGTTGTTTATCTCACTGAACTAAACTGAACTGAAGGTAAGAAAATATTGAGAAATTCCCATCACAAAGTGATGTCTTCAAATCTGTTGTTTTGTCCACACAACAACGAAAAACAGGCAAAGTCAATTTAGTGTCATAGGAAAGGACTTCACAAATAAAGAAAAAAAAAGAAAGAAAGAAAGAAAATCTTCACATTACATCAATCGATCAATCTCCACATGCTGGAACCCGCTAATTCTGAGCAATTGTTTCTGACTAACTTTCTGTTGATGAACCAATTGAACTGAATCTACTAATCATTTTCTCTCTAATGCAAAGCACAGTACAATAAATAAAGAAATATTAAAATAGATGCCAAATAATTTAATGCTGAACTTTGGGGAAATGTCGCTAAATTGATGCACCACACATCTAGAAATGTATATATGCAAATGATAAACATTCAACCAACAACAGAAACAGCAGAACATTTTAAATAAAAGGATGAAAAAGTATAAAGCAAGAACAGAACCAGTGCAGTCATGTGTAAATATTCAACAAATGAGGTGTGATGATTCATAGTTTAAAGTTAAATTCTTACACCACCAGTCATTCTGTTTTAAAATCCATGCTCACCAAGCTACATGTGGGTAGAAGCAGTGAGTAAAATGAGAATGCAGTCATACTAACAGTGATAATTTGTTGGAGTTGATCGCTGGGCATGTTGATGGTGACTCTTGCGCTGCCAGAGAGGACGACCACAGGCTTCTGCAGTAGATTCAACTTGACCAGGACGTTACGGGGCGGGGGACCCTCATGGTGATTCACCAGGACCTGGGCAGGTTGGGGAAAATTTCTCACTGTGATTTCATACACTTTTTCATTCAACATTTCATTCAACGGTGGCTGAGCTTAAGAACATGAACACAACACACAGAGGACCCAGCTTGTGGCATTTAATTATACTGTACAAAGGTTCACAGGAAGATGCTTACTGTGAAGTCGAAGGGTAGGCCTGGCTTGAAATACTTTGGCATGTCTTTGAAGGATACCACATAAAGCGACTCGACGATTTTAATGCCAGTCTTCTCTGCTTCAACCAGATCACTGCCTGTACAGGAGAAAACAGTAGCAACGTGACCCGCATTTCCTAAAAGCTGCGCAACAGGGGAGAGTCAAAGATTTTGATAACTTGAGTTTATGCAGAGGGCTAAAGGTTACGTTAATAGACATCTGACCCCGGGCCACATTTCAAAAGTGGAATTGTTCAGATTTCACTATCGATCTGTCCAGTACAGAGGATAAGATAAACTGATTACGACATTTTGAAGTTTTGGTCTTACTAGGCGGTGGAACAAGGAACCGATCAAACACATTAAACTTAGCCTCAAAAGATATGATCACATGCAGCGGCACTCCACACAGCCCACATCACAGTTTGTTTACACTTGTTTTCTGTCACTGTGATACTATTCATACAAGTATATGGTAATATTTCACCACTCTTAGTACAAAAACACAACAGATCATCAAAAACGACCTTTTTCAATAACCATAAATACATGTGATATTGACTAAGTACAAAAAACATCTAGAAAGATACATTATACACTAAAAATACATTATGTTCAAACAAAGTACATTGTCTCTATTGTTAAAATACATTTTACTATCACTATGCTAATTGTTCCTAATTCATCATTGCTGAAACATTTACTTCATATACATGTATATATTGCTTATTTTGCCTGATATGTTCAGATTCAAAACTTAAGAATCACCACTCTAAGGGGTGAAATTTTTATACGACCTTAGTGGGATTCAAACCCACAACCTTAGAGTTGGTAGCTTAGTGCTCTAACAAAGTCACAAAGGAACACTGCAGCGATTACAGTATGTACAATACAATACTGTAAAATGCACTACAAGATTACCTTTCATAATTATTGGTATAATATATGTTGCATTTGATTACACAAAACATATATGTTGAAATAAAATACTGTAAATGTTAGTTTGTTGCATGAAAGAGTGGAGAAGATGTCCTCTTTCATCACACTTTTGATCATGGGATGGATTTTTTTTTTGCCTAATGTGAAAACAGTGAAATGAACTATATAACAGGACTAAGTGACTGTTACAATGACTTAACTGAAAAAATTGCACCATGTTATGTTAAAATGACTTAACAAATGTACTCATTGTATTTCACCAAAAACTTAAGAGGTTGAATCTTAGATCTTGTGGTGAAAGATGTTTATAAACCAAATGAAAGGGAAATCAGTTGTTTCGAATGTAAATTTTATGATTATTTATTATTTATTTGGAGTCTTGTAGAACGACTATTGATAATAGTACCACAGTGACAGAAAATTCTGATTCCTGTGAGTACATGAAAGATAATCATACTCTTTAAAGTAAAGTAAATCATTTCACCCATGTTTGACAATTTGTATGTAAGATTTTAGACAAATTACTACTGACTGGTTGACTTTCTGTTGTTTTTCCTGTATACCCGCGGACTTGTGCTTACCTGACTTGGTGAGCACAGATGCCTTGACATACACAGAGTTGCCCACCAAAGATCTAATGTTAGGGTAAGCTCTTTTGATCTCCTCCATGCTCAGTCTGACAACTCCTCTATCCAGCTTCAGGAGAACAAGAAAACAGAGAGCCATTTTATAAAACATCTGACAGAAATAAAGGCTATTCTGCTCTAAGTAACAACCAATACTTATTTGTTTATTTATTTTTCTGACAAAATATTAAATCTTGGCTCAAGGTCCACATACAGGAGTTTTTTTGAGCTTTCTGGAACAGCACAGCACAGTCTTGATAGGCAGAGTTTGCTCAGTGAGGCAACTGATACTCATACAGTTATGCTAAGCTAACTTCATCCATTGAGAAAGGCTTTGAGTTGTGTTTGAAAGCTCTTTCAAGAGCCATGACTATTTCCAAGTTCAAGAATGAAATGTTTAAATATGAAACCAAATGACTTTGTGCTGAAGCGTTAACACCAAAATCTATGCAGCTTTTAGCCTCTTTTAGCTCATTGTTTTGGTTCTCCAACTGCACATGGACCGTATGGTTGAATCCCATGGCTCTCACCAACTCCCCATATAAAACGTTAGGCAAACATTTCCAGCAAACAAGGTCAAAGCCAATCTGCCCAGAACCAACGGACAACATAGAAGTCAGTGTGAATAGCTAATGAAGACAGAGCCAGATATTTTACTCGGTAATAGGTGGAGTCCAAAACAGAGCTAAAAGAAGAGTGAATATTGGACTCTATTCACTTATGGAAACTCAAATTTACAAGGACAAATACTTCACAGCACAGGCCACATTATTTCACTGGGTACCACTGGTAAAGTGCAGTGCAAAGTCACCACAGTGATGTTCTCTTAACATCAACCATAGCCAAAGAATACCAACCAATGAGAATGCTAAAGAGAACCAAAACTTCGTAGCAGCTGCGAAACATTATGACATAGCTCACTAATGTGGCAGGAAAATTTTATAACAGAACCCACAAAATCAGTGACAACAACTGGTGAACTTTGGGATGGAGCACTGACTTACATCTGACACCTCCTTCACTGAAGGCAACCTTATCATCTCTTGATTGATCTTCACTCCAAACACCACGTAGGCCGTCCCCTGGACTGGCTCCCCATACAGGTACCTGAAACAAAATGGTTAAGCCAACAGTGAGCAGGTTTCATTCATTCTTTTCTTATGTACCCTTCTGGAGGAAAATCCTCATGAAATCACATACCGTGTTCATATGTATGTTCTTGTGGTTTCAGTATGAGGATTAAATGACCTCGTAAGAAAATGTTTGCACCTCCTGACTTCCTCAGAGGTTAGTTTAGTGTTGGGACATGGTTTTAGAGTTAAGGTTAGGATTAAGGTTAAACTAAGTGCAGGAGTTAGTAAGACTTAGGGTATGGCAGTAATTGTCAACAGAAGTAACAGTTGAAGGTCAATCGGTAGTAGTGTGGGTTACGTTCACTTTAGGGAGCTGGTAAATGAATATGGCTAAAAGATGCATCATGAATTGCAGTGCCATAACAAGCATGTGTGTGCGTGTGTTAGACCAACCTGGCCGAGATATCTACTACCAATTCACTGTCATCCAGGCTGAGGAAGGACTTCCTGGGTGTCAAGGTGACATTGAAGGCCGGAAGCACTGAAACACAAGATGCCATATAAATATAGCATGTCTGTATGCCACAATTGGAGAAACTCCAATTATGTAATGCATACCCGAGAAAATAATTTCTAGTGTGACTGAAAAGCCGCTACTGATGTTAAAAGCAAAAGTAGGCAGGGTTTAACTTACCATATTTCTTCACCTGGAACTGAGAGGTGAATGTGTTCTGCTGCCAGTGGTCAAACTTTGCCGTCACTATCCATGTTCCTTCACTGCCACAGACATATCAGAGATAGGACATAAAACAGAGGAAACAGAGGAACTGATGGGTTTGAGGTGCTACATGCGTATATAATTTAACAGGACTACTCTACTGCCTACAGCTGTCATCTTAGTGTAGCATCTTAGCATGCTAACATTTGCTAAATACACCGGATTTTGACCTGATTATTACAATTTCTCCTGAGCGGGACATGAATGTGTATACCAAACTGAATGACTATCTATAAGAGTCAGTTAAATTCATCCTTTGGTGACCATGAATGTCTGTTCAAAAAACACTTTTGGAGATACGCGAGTATGAACCAAAGTGGTGGATCAACAGACAAGACGAGAAATGCTGCTTAAACTGGGGTGAAGGAGCATAAACGTGTTAATGACCAGTGAGTTGCTGATTCCAATTTCTAGGACGGAATAACACTTTCCCTCCTCAACATATTATGCTGAGATGCCCAACCGTCAAGAATATACAATTTCTTGAAGATTTACATTGTATTGTATGAATGTGAAGCAGGCTAGCCTTGAAAAATAATGTCTACACCTTTAAATCTCTTGGCAGCGGAAGGAGTTGAAAGATGAGTGAAACAAGTTGATCTTACTTGACAATTTCAGAGAGAGGAAAAGTGTCTGCAAAGACTCCACCAACGGCTCTGCTCGTGGAGATTTGTTTAACCACCACACCGTCTGGATTCTGAAACACACACACACACACACAAGCAGGACATTTGAGCTATTACAACCGATAATTTAATAAGATATCACAGAAACAATACCAAAAACA